TCATATATTTATCTTTTATTTTCTTTTGTATCTAAATTCCTTATTGGGGAGGTCCGTTTGATATGACTTCCATTTCATATTCCTTACTATGTGTATTTCATGATCTAGGTGAAACAAAATCCAAGCCTTGATGCCTTACTCTCTGATATATGCATTGGAACTTCAGCTGCGCCAACTTATCTACCTGCACATCGTTTTGAAACCAAAGATTCAGCAGGAGGAGTGAGACAATTCCATCTAATAGATGGTGGCGTTGCTGCTAATAATCCGGTATTTACATATGTTTGCCATGATCAGATCTGTAATACGACTCTGGAAATTTTAGATAGGGTTGAATCCTTGTAATAAATTACTGAAGAATAATATAACGGATGCAGCCCCTTAGATATTTGAGCCGCGGACGGTGGCCTTATAATTAAGTTGAACCAGTTTTTATTTTATATTTATTATTATTACTTTCAATCTCTCTCTTATTCTAAATATCTATATCTGGTTTCAGGCTTTAATTGCCATCAATGAAGTGACTAAGGAGATAAACCGGGGAAGTCCCGACTTCTTTCCGATAAAGCCGACGGAGTATCGCCGGTTTCTGGTTGTATCCTTAGGAACAGGCTCACCAAAATCTGAAGAGAAGAATGATGCAAATGAAGCAGCAAAGTGGGGTGTTTTAGGGTGGTTAACACATGGTGGTTCGACTCCATTGGTGGATGTATTCACTCAATCGAGTAGTGACATGGTGGATCTTCTCATTTCCACAGTTTTTCAATCCCTTCAATCTGAAAATAACTATATCCGAATTCAGGTAGTTATTCATGCTTCCAAAACATCAAAACAAAATCCCTTTAATCCCCTCACATGTTTGATTATTTCTACCTTTTTTTTTCTTTTAATTTTTGTTTATTAACACTCAATTAAAACATGCAGGATGACACATTAGGTGGGGAAGTTTCATCGGTTGATGTTGCAACCACAAAAAATTTGGAAGATCTAGTAAAAATTGGTGAGGGTCTATTGAAAAAACCAGTTTCAAGAGTAAATTTGGATACAGGCATGTATGAGGCCTCAGATCAGGTTACCATTACCAATGAGCAGGCTCTAATCAAGTATAACACTACTCTCACACCCTTTTTCTTCTTGTTATTATTTTTTTTAATTTTAGGATACTATTATATTTATGTTGACTAATATTATATTTGTTTTATTTGATTGAACATTGTAGGTTGGCAGATGTACTCTCCAAGGAGAAGCGTATCCGGGAGGCTAGATCACCAATGGGACATTCTCCAAAGTTAGATCAATCGATTATCCTGAATAACTAAAATCAAGCTCATGAAATTTAGAGGTGGAGACCTGATTATTAACCTCACAATTCATTATTAGTTAGTGAATATGAATAAAGCCTGGGTGTGCCAGTGTAGTAATGTAACTCATATTTTCATATTTTACGTAATTTAATAAGTAATTAGTTGAAATTCACATTGTAATTTTCTCAGACAGATAAAATGATATTCATTTATAAACTTATATATATTTGATTAATTTATTTTTGTGTCACGAAGACATTGTAGTAGTCTAGTAGAGGTCGACGCACGAATTCATCGATTGATGACGACGATTATATTGACCCATTACCCAACATGAATGGTTTTATCTAAAGTTTTAAATTTGTACTTAAATGGTAAAATCGATGACGGGTGTTAAAATTGATAATGAAGAAAAAAAAACATGTGCACAATTCTAATATTTGAAGTATGAGAGAAATATTAGAATAATCCCTTAAATATTAATTCTGTCAATTATATCACGAAGTTGCTAACAAAAAATCTGAATCTGATATATGCCACATGCACCTCACAAAAAATATCGCTTGCCACTCAATTTAAACGATGTATACTGATTGGACTAAATTGATATAATAAGTATCTTTCCCTCTCCCTCTCCCTCTCCCCCCCTCCCGTCCTTTAACAGTGCGACAACCACAGTCACCACCAATGCCACCATAGCCACCACCGAACAACACCCCACACCCCTACAACACTATCGAAAGCCTCCCTCAGCCGCCAACGACCACCAAAAAAAGCGGGTATGGCCTGCTATGGACCAAAAAATAGCCACAATCTTTCTCTGCTCCTCTCTCTCCCTCTGTCCATCGTCTTCCATCAACCAAACCAAACCCAATCCAATCACTACTTTGGAAAACTTTTTTGACTAAAATCATGGAAGCAAGTACACATCTACAACTTTTTTTGATTGATTATTTCTATAGTCTATATAGTTAAACTCATGAATTTGGTGATTTCTCGGGTCCCAAGTTAAAACAATGAAAAAAGAAATATTGGACTGGTTTTAAATTTGTATACGAAGATGTTCTTTATAGCTATTTTTTAACCTTTTTCTCCCCAAGAGGTGGTGACTGAGTAGTTATTTTATTGAGATTAGAAAGAGAAACTCAGAAAATGTCTGCTAAAAATGAATCCTTTAGCACGAGATAAAATGGGTTTTCTTAATTTTTCAATGTTGTTGCAGGTGTAGACTGAGTGATAACCGAATGAAAAAATTACTCAATCTAGAAATTATATCAGTAATTTTCAACACTTTTATTGTGCCCGACATAGTATAGAAAATAAAGTAATTTGACTGTATATCAATTTCTAGAGAGTAATCTGACTATATAACTCATTCACTTGAGTAATTTGATAAAAGGAGATTGTTTTATTTTTAAAAAAAAAAATATATATTGATTGGCGATAGTCAAAATTTTGTGTTATGGATCGGTTTCATGTATGTATAAATAGTTATAATTTTATTTTTGAGTTATATACTGTCTTTAGGTATGAATTTTAGTAGGCCCTATGTATTAATAATTCTGTCGGAATAAATGAATTGTAACAGCAATGAGTTTTAGTGGACCCCTCCATGTATTAACAGCTCTGCCCTAATAAATGATTGGCAATCGCAATGAATTTTTGTGGGCCCCCCCATGTATTAATAGCTCTGTCTTTCACGGATAGAATACAAGGCTATAAAATAAAATTTTAAAAGAATAAGATACGAATATAATCAGAATACACCTATAATAAAATATATTTTTTAATTTATTATTATTTAAAGGCTTAGTATTTATAATTTTTAATAATTTGTTAACATTAATAAACAAAATTATGAATTTTTACCATAAAAAAATGTAATATTATCTTATTATGAAATATTTCTAAAATAAGTGTAATTAATTAAAGGAATTATAATCACATTCTGTTTACAAGTATTTGTCTTTTAAATTATATCGTAAGTGACTCATTTTTTTTATACTCTCTTGATATGTAATAATAGATAATACTTTAAAAATACTCATGTGTTTAATATCATATGAAATTTTATTGATGTTTTGTATTATATGTGAACTCTAAAGAAAGGGTATAGATTAAAATTAAAAATTATACATCTTGTTCTATATTTAGAGGTATCCGCGAAATATCTATAGATTTTATTAATTTTTAGATACAGATAATATGTATTTGATATGTTTGATTCTTCCTACCTTTTTTTTTTTTAATTTTTGTTTATTAACACTCAATTAAAACATACAGATGATGTGTATTTGATTTGATTGATGTTGCAAGTATGAAAAATTTGGAGGATTCGGTAAAAATTGGCGAGAATTTGTTGAAAAAGTCTGTTTCGCGAGTGAATTTAGATACTAGTGTGTACGAGACCTCTAATCAGGTTTCCTTGACCAATGAGCATGCTCTAATCAAGTACAACACTACTCTCATACCCTTTTCTTAGTTTTTTTTTAAATTTTAGAATAGTATTATATTTATTTCAACTAAATTATATTTGATTGAACTTTGTAGATTGACAGATATACTCTCCGAGGAGAAGCATATCCGAGAGTGTAGATCATCAATCGGACATTCTCCAAAGTTAGATCAATCTTGAATAATTCAAATCAAGCTCATGAAATTTAGAGCTGGAGAGACCTGATTATTAGCCTCGCAATTCATTATTAGTTAATTAATATGAATAAATCCTGAGTTTGCCAATGTAGTAATGTAACTAATTTTCATATTGTATGTAATTTAATAGGTGGTTAATTGATATTCACATTATAATTTTCTTGTATAAGTAAAATTTGGAGCACGAATTCATCGACCGATGAAGGCGGTTACAGTGACCCATTACCCAACATGAATGGTTGTATCTAAAATTTCAAATTTGTACTTAAATAGTAAAATTGATGATGGGCGTACTGAAAAAAAAAATATACGCACTTTTAATATTTGAAGTATGAAAGAAATATTACAATGATCCCTTAAATATCAATTCTGTTGATTATATTCACAAAGTTGCTAACAAAAAATCTTATGTATGCTACATGCACCTCACAAAAAAATATCACGTGCCACTCGATTTAAATGATGTGTTTTGTTTGGACTAAATAAACATAATTAGTAGTTGAAGGATCAAAGTAACATTTATCAGATACTTTAAAGACCAAAACTATAGTTAGTCAAAGTAATGTTTCGTGACATTCCTTGTTACAATGGGAGGACTCTTTATTAAACGATAAGAGAAATCCACATAGAAAACATACACTATAGATGCTAGATATGAAAGAGGAGTCAATGCCTTCTTTCTTTTCTTTTTTTTGCCATTTTTTATTTGTGAATTGTTAATGAACTTACCTCATTCGTCGATATTATGTGATATAATATTTCTCTCATATATATGAGTTTTATTATAAGATGTCGAACCTATGAATCTATTCATTATGGATATCAAAAAAAAAAAGCATATACAATAAGAATAAAAAATGTATTTAGTCCATATTGTTATCATTTTATTTAGGAAAACAATACATCAAATTAATTACAATCCTTTCATAGGAAAAAGATAAACAATAAGAAGAAGAAGAAGAAAAGCACCAATGCAACTAGTGCAATTATTCAACAGCTGTTGTGTAATCTTGATAATATATAGGCATGCAGCAACTACTGCTTCTACTTTAAGCCCTTGTAAGAGCTTGGTAGTTTTTGCTGTCTAAGTTTTCTTTCATCTGAAAGTAATTTTGCAAACCTGTAACAGGCAGGAACATAAAAATTAGTAGTGTAATAACAAATTTTGAGAATGGCAATGGTATCGAATTCTGTATCATACGTAAAGTTATGACTGATAAATGGAGATTAGTTAAAATTTAGTTGAGGTCAAGTTATGACTCAAAAAATGTAGATTAATTCAAAAATGTTAGGATTGAACCCAAATGAACTTATTTTTCCTAAATTCACCCAATTTAGTCGTAACTTTCATTTTACGATTTTGAACTAAATACCATAGTCTTTCCCACAATATTTGGTAGCCGAACCAAAGTAGAATGATAAAGATTATTTCGATTGTTCCCATACCTTTTGAGAGCATCCTCATTTGTGCCACCATTTTTAACTAGCTCAGCAAGACCTGTCTTCAAATTCACTCGTGAAACTGGTTTCTTTAACAACCTTTCTCCAATCTCCACTAGTTTGTCCAAGTTTTCCTTAGTAGCAACATCAACGGTGGAGTTTGTCCTAGTTAACCTGTCCTCCTAGCATTGCATGTGACAGATAGTGAATTACGGGTGTTAATTAAACCGAAATTTTTTTAAGTTACATTTAACTCGGTTATGACTAATTAAACTCGAACTCCAACCAAATTTAGAATCTTGCTCAACCTCGATTTGGTTGGGGCTTATGAGTGTTTGCATCCCACCCGAGCCACAATCAAACTTATTCTCTCAGTTAAAATATTCAAATATTAAATCTTTAGTTTAAATAATCAATCACAAAATAGACAATTTCTAATCAAAAATACTTCAAAAATTTCTAAGCAAAATAACTTCACTTTTGTCTAAATGAAATGGCCTTTTCTTTTTGTTTATTACTTATTTATTTATCATGAATGATAGAATCATTAAACATTGCGGGTATTCATCTTTTGGATAAGAGTTGTTTAATAGTAAAATTAGAAATATTTATAGACAGTAATCTATTAATGCCGACTTGATTTTATTACAAATACGAGATTAAAAATGACACTAAGTTTTGACTATTTAAAAATTTGAACGAGTCAAACTTATATCAAACTGGAGCTACTCGAATCCAGAGTAACTTGAAAACCATGTGAAATACGTGGAGCGTGAGAGTAAATTTTAACTTACTTGTATTCGAAGGTAATTTTTTTCAGAGTGAAGAGCTTGAAAAACCACAGAAATATGGAAATCAACCATATCAGCACTTGCTTGAGTGAAAACATCCACTAGTGGGGTGGAACCTTTGTGAACTAACCAACTCAAAACACCCCATTTGGCTGCCATTTTCGCACTGTATTTCTGTTCCACCTTTGCAGAGCCGGTGCCTATTGAGATCACCAGGAAGCGTCCGTAGTCTATAGGCTTAATAGGGAAGAAATCTGAATTTCCACTGAAAACCTCTTTGGTTATCTGGGATATGGCAACTAAAGCCTGCAACCATCGTGCCACGAAAAATTTGATATTCATATATTTATTCCAAATCTCTCGAGATGTAAGTGGTATAGTTTCTTAGTATTTGTGGCTGTGAGAGTAGCTTCCTATGTCTTAATCTTTGGTAGTCTTTTTGTAAGTAGCTTTTTCCAGACAAAAAATTTCGATTATTATTTCATAAAAGTGATCTATATGCATCATGATATATGACTAATACACCTCTATACATGCATAAGCGCAACTTTAAGCTAGGAGAAAAGGAGCAAGTGTGAAAAACAAAACTGCAAAAAAAAAAAAAAAAAGGCCTTAATAAGAAAAAAATATTCAAAAATTTTATCAATATATATAAGGTAAGTAATTGGCTTACATAAGTCCTTCTCGTGAGTATACCTTCTAAGCCTTCAGACACACCTTGAATTATGTTGTGCATCTCTGGTTTTGTTTTTCCAAGATAATATTTTTATTTAGCAAAGAAATATACGGTGTGTGATTGTGAGTTCAATGGTGCTATATAACAATTAATCAGTAACATACTGAGAAAAGCTTATAAGTATATAGTTATAGAAATTATACCGGATTATTTGCTGCAACACCACCATCAATAAGATTGAATTCCCAAACGTTCCCTTCGTTATCGTTGTTATTAAAATGGTAGGCAGGAAGATAAGTTGGAGCTGCAGATGTGCTAATGCATATGTCTGATAGTCTTGCATTCAGAAAGGGGTACTGTTTCGCCTGCATTGATATAAAATATTATTTTAGACACTATATTTCTCCAACTTTGTCAACTCCTCAAATAAAAAATAGTAGTATCTTACAAGTTATAACCAACTTGGTACTGAATGTGTGTGTGTGGTGTGAGAGAGAGAGAGAGGAGAGAGTGAAACCTCATAAGTGGAGAAAACAGTTGGCTGCAAAGTCTTGATATCGAAAGTAGGAATGACAACATTGGTTAAGGTTTGATGCAATCGTGTCTCTCCTAGTTTCTCCCTTACAACTTGATGAAGATACTTCCCATCATACTTGGGTCCTACTAATAAGTTCAATCTGTTTCTATGTGATGCAAACATGCCCCTGCCATGGCAGCAATTCAAGCTACCATTACAACTTTCGCCTTTTTCATTTTTGAAAAAATGAAGCAAGAAGAACATAAGAGTAGGATCCATGTGGCGTTTGGACGCATTTGAGGTATATTGCATGTCTATTTTTTATCAATGAATTACATTTACTCAACCAAAAGAAAAAAAAAGAAGGCAAAAAAACATATCATGATTACCTTTTCTGTGGAAAAATTTTTGGAGAATTTTCGAGATAAAAGGGCTTGATATCTTTAGCAGCAAATATAGGACGATTATTTTCATCTGGAGCTGTTAACATGGCAGTCACAAGGCCACCAGTACTGGTTCCTGCAATCACGTCAAAGTAATCTGCAAGTCTTGCATCCTCACCATCCAACTCCTGATCCAAAATAACATTATTTGAAATTAATTAGTTAATCTTTCTGCATTTCGTTTTTTTTTATATGATGTAACTCTGTGGACCTTCATAATTTGAAGATGCACCCAATGTCCAAAACCCACACTCATAGAATACCCTATGCACACTTCACCAAGAAATGTGCGATCAGGTGATCACATATGATATTTGTGCAATTTTTACATGAAATCATGAATGAAGATCTCTCTCCCTCACACACACACAGACATATGCACGTGCACACTACTATGTCAGTAGAAAATAAAACTAACCTGAAGTTGGGACTCAAGGTAAGCAAGGATAGTGCCAGGGATGATCCCTCTGATACCACCTCCATCAATGCTGAGAATGGTGATGAGGTTTCCGTAAGTTGGGGGCTGAGATGAGAGTCTCTCCATTTGAAACTGATTGTAACAATGGACTATTGTTAGCCTATGAGATTAGAGAGCTCAAGCTTTCGTGGTTTGGTTTTCCAGCAAAGTTAATCTATTTATAGCCCTCAACGTGCATGGAAGAAACTTCCTTGCACTCTCTTTCATCGGCTATGTAGAGCAATTCGTGATTATATTGTTAAGAGCAATGTTATTGATAAATGTTGAAAACTGAAAAATATAATAAACATAACCTAGCTAGGTTGGCGTTTACATTATCCATTCCAAATAACACCTTAAACTCTATTGATATTTTTCCTTGTCAATTGAAGAAGATAACAACTAACTGTCGTGGGATGACTTTGTTTCAAATGTTTATGATAGTTGGCAGGCCCTCATTAGTTTGAATTATACAACTATTCAGGCAAGAGTTCTAGTAAAGAGAGATTCATTCATGAAACGTTAAAATCACAACTAAATTTACAGTATTTCTCATGTGATGGGATAACTTTGTTTCAAATGCTTGTGATTGTTGGCAGCTAGGCCGTCATTAATTTGAATTATACAACTATTCATGCCAGGGTTCTAAGAAAGGGAGCCATATCTTAAGAAGGAAACTAAATTTACGTTTCTCATGTGGTGGGATAAGATGAACAAACCTTACTTTTTTATTTGACGCCACACAGATTTTGACTATGAAATAAGGTTCGAGACCCTTGATTCTTTTATTTGTTTGTTGCATTTCCACTTTGTTTCAAGTGTTTATGATAATGGGTAGCTAGGCCCTCATTAATTTGAATTATATAACTATTCAGACAAGAGTTCTAAGAAAGAGAGCTATATCCTAAGAGGAAAATTATGTTTATCTTTTTTGCAGTCGTGGAATAACTTTGTTTCAAGTGTATATGATAGCGATTGGTAGATCATCATTAATTTGAATTATAAAACTATTCAGCCAAGGGTTATAGCGAAGAGACTCATTCATTACACGTTAAAATCACAAATTAATGAAGCTATATCCTAAGAGGGAAACTATATATATTTACATTGTTGCCGTTCTTTAACTTGACATGGTATCATAGTTGTTGGAGATATTTCCTCTTCAAAATTACTATTTTCCCCCCTTTTCCGATTTCTAAAATTTCAAAATTTATCCCCACATTATCAACCTATCTATGATGACATATAGCCAAGTTTGTATTGTATCAAGTTTGTGTTGTGCATTTGTTTATACATACCCATGTTTTGTTTAGCTGGACTAATATTTATTGACGGGTTTAGCAAGGTCACCAATATATTACGTAAACCTCTCTATTCCAACACCAAACCATCAAAGAGGTAGGTAGCTTGGTGAAATCACTTACATCTTCCAAAATTAAACTGCAGGAAGTGTGTTCTTATCCCTTCTAAATATTTGTTAGTTGACAAACCACGGTATCTATGAATTGCTTACGCAGTCAGAGGCTTTCTATAATAAATGTCATGGTATGTGAAGGTTACCGTTGAGCTCCTCAGGCTGCTTATGGGTTTTAAAAGAGTTAAAAAATAATGATAATAACTTCCATGTGTGGCTAAACAAGTCAAAATGAAATTTACTTGGTTTGTGAGAGATTCAACGCAAATTGTTTAATCATTAATGTTACTTATGTTTATCTAGTTTATCCATAATTATTTATGTTTAAGATGTTAGTTAAATATGATTTCACCAAATTAGAAGGCTTTAATCGTGTATTCACTGTCTTTAAGGAAATTATTCCCCCACTATGTTGCTGCTAGGTTTATGGCAGATTCCTTTAGAATTAACAAAGTCAAACAGAATTTCAGATAGCAATATCTGAAATTCTACCAAGAACAGAATGAAGAAACGTTTGTTTTGTGTATATCTAAATTGAAAAATCTATACAGGTATCTATAATATCTTAATGAAGAGATACAACTCTTAGGCCAAAGAGATGTAAAAAGGAGACACAATTTTTCGGCCAAAGGAGATGTATAGAGGAGACACAACTTTTGGGCCAAAAAACATTTAGCAATTAATTAATACAAAATTATTTAAAGTCTAATCAAGATCCATTGATTTGAAATATTTGGAGCTTCTCTGTAAATCTTTCCACCATCCAAATTTATAAAAGTTGGTGTGTTTCTGCTTTTAAACCCTTACATTTCCTTTCAACTTTTTCAACGTGGAATTCTTTATATTACTAACTATCTCTAACATATGATGCATTCTGCGTGTAAAACGTGTAACTAAGCAACGTGCACAACTGAATCAACAAAGTCATTGTTGATCAGTTTGCTCAAGGATTATGTTAGAATGATTAAGAAATAAGACCGAAAAGAGGGACTAAAATGACGTGGTGTTAACGCAATAATGCTTTGGGTTAAATTTTCACTCATTCAAATGAAAGTGGGATAAGTTTAGACTAACCAAACAACTAGACTAAATGATATGACATTAATTAATTAAAAAAAAATCTGCTTAATTTTTAAAAATAATTATTAATTTATTATTATATTAATTTTATTTAAACAGATAAACGAGTTGATATGACTCACCCGAACATGACCCATTTATTAAACGTGTTAGACTGGTTAACTCGTTTATCATCTAAACCCGTTAAAATTTCATCTAAATTCACTTAATTCATATAATTGTGTCGTGTCGAACTTTGACCGTCCTAGTTAGAATGATTAAAAATAGAACTGAATAAGGGACCAAATAATGTGGTACTATACCAACATAGTAGTGCCCTTACTTTTATTTTTACTCATTTTAATAAAAGTTTGATACGCCAGTTTGATACGCCATAGTACATAGTACTATCCTTTTTTTTCTATTCATTAAGGGAACACCAGTTTGATACGCCAGTTTTATATGTTCACTTTTTTTAATTACACATGCGTGATGTTTTTTTCGAGTACCAAAGGGAAGTTTTGAAACTCCTGCCAAGTTCTAGGACTCTTGAGTAACTCGAGTTTATTGCTGGAGTGCGCATGAGTTTGCGAATATTCAAGTTGAATCTGAGATGACCCAAGCTCAACTTCTCAACAAATCAAATTTTTTCATAGCTTAATAATTATTTTCGAAATAATCAGTTTCTCAATAAAATTCTTATAAAATCAGGGTAATATTAAGTATAAAACCAAACCTAGAAATTCAAACTCATGCAGTTTGCTGATGTGGGCAAATTCTCACCGTTCAAAGAGAAATGAAAATCTACAAATATTTTCTAATTAAAGAACGTCTATCTTTCGATCGCATAGCATGTTTTACACATTTGTGCGAAGAATAAAAAATAGTTAAATTTGACAACAAATATGAGAAGTAAACGGGCATATGGTCAAGGGATAACAATGTGATGCACAACATTGAGGCTTGACGCTTGAGCCTTGTTGGTCAGTGCCTTGCTGGTCAGTGGCGATCTTAACTCTCGAAGTCTCCTTTCATTGCAAAGTAGTCTGGCAAACCTGTGAGAGGTAAAAACATAATATTTTAAACTTTTGTGGATAATAAGAAAATACAAATAACTCTCGAGCTTACTTTATTTCTTACTTTTTAAATAAGAACATGTATTTGTTTTGGTGAAAAAGTACTATTGAAAAGCGAGAAGAAAAAAAATTATATATCTCTAAGCGCAAAAAAGAATTGCTTGTATCTGGATTTACTCTCTTCTTTAAGCTTAATTATATGTATATATTACTTGTAGATTAAAATATATTATCCATAAATAGTTATCATACATGTTTTTTTTGGCTTTTGCTTTCAAGAAAAAAAAAATGTGATAAAAAAATGTGTTTTATTTACGAAAAAATACTTCAAGAAAACGTTTTCAAATAATGTCTATTGTTTTTTACCTCTTGAGAGCATCCTCATTTGTGCCTGCGTTTTCAACTGGTTTGTGGAGTCCCGTCTCCAAATTCACCCTTGAAACTGGTTTCTTCAGTAGATTTTCACCTATTTTTACCAGTTTTTCCAAGTTGGCCTTCGTCGCAACATCAACTGAAGCTTCTGTACCAGTCAATGTGTCTTCCTGGTTTTGCAAGCAATATATTAGTATGTGTTATATCAAACTGTTAACCACCTAATCAAACAATACATGGATGGAAGATGACCCGTTTACTTTTGGTGGGATTTCAAAACTATATTTGCATCGCGACGAGTTGAGAAGGTAGTTAGCGTTTAAATCATTTAGACACAAATTTCATCATTCAACCACCAAAGTGGCATAATCAGTGATTAGAGAATTAAAGTACATTTTGTATATACTTTAGAGACGAAAAATATATTTAATTTGTAAAATTAGAATTAAATTCAATGAGATTGTATGTAAGCTTACTTGAATTCGAAGGTAATTTTCTTCTGAATGAAGTGCTTGGAAAACCACAGAATTGTGAAAATCAACCATATCTCCACTTGATTGAGTAAACACATCCACCAATGGAGTCGAACCTCCATGAATTAACCAGCCTAGAACTCCCCATTTGGCAGCCATTTTACCATTGTATTTCTGTTCAATCTTTGCTGCCCCTGTGCCAATTGAAATTACTAGATATCGAGCATAGTCCATGGGCTTGATGGGAAAGAAGTCTGGATTGTTCTCAATGACCTGTTTTGTCACTTCGCTAATGGCAACCAAAGTCTGAAAGCATTTCATCAAGAAATAAACAACGATATTAAATTCAGATTCTTTTTTTTTTTTTGCAGTTTATTACTAATATTAGATTTGTCACGTCGAATCCATGTGCAATTCTTACATAGACATATAGGGATGGAACGAGTTAGTAGATACATTCTAAATGAAGTTATCAAATATTGTATACCAAATGATGTGACGAAACCTCTACAATATTGAATGTGTAGTGGGAGTAAGTGAGACCGACTACTCCAATCACTCATACTGGTTTGGTATACAAAATTTAAGTAAACAATTTGATAAGTATATCAATGCTCGTTAAAACGTGGTGCTTTAAACAAGTCGAGGAGAAGTCATGCTCCTTAGACCACAACATATTTCCATCCATAAATGGATGCACGAGTGAAAGGAGATTCTGAATACATACACACATTCATTTTCACCTTGATATTTGATTTTTGATTTGTGGTCGCTAATTTTAAGGGTGTCATCTACATTTTGTGGATTCATTTAGGGAGAAAAAGACATCTTCTACAATTTGTCAAACTGTAGGTCCCAGAGTTAAAGATAAATATGTAATTGTAAGTGGAATGCTATCTTATACATAATTTAATGCTTACCGGATTATTTGCAGCAACACCCCCATCAATAAGGTTATATTCTCGAACATTCCCTTTGTTATCTTGGGTCTTGAAGTAATGGGCTGGAAGGTAGGTTGGAGCTGCAGAAGTACTTATGCAAATATCGGATAATTGAGCATCCAAACATGAAGAGCCTTTTACCTGCATGGATCAGACATAATTCTTTAACCCCTATTACTTTACCATGTATTGTTTGCCCTACTTAAATATGCAAAAATAAGTTTAACACTAATTTCTGAAATTATAACTGATGCCCTAAGGTTAGAGAATACAATCTCCAACTAAGGGTTATTAAGGGGCCCCTGCTGCCAGCCAATCCCCGATGCCCACCCATTGATTGGTCCTATTGACATTGTTGTGGTCGAAAAAAATGAATAATGTTAGATAAACTTAAAAGTTAGACTTGATAATATTAATTATTGAATAGGTAATGAATTCTAATAAATGTTGGAACATACAGTAAAATCAACGGTCGTAATTATAAAGTATAATTTTTAAATCTACTTTTTAAATCCATGTAATATTGCTCGGAAAAAATATTAGAGTAAATATTGGGTGTAATGGTGACAACACGTCATTATTGACATCTAATGTCAAAATCCAGTAATAAACCCATAAATAAGTAGGTGGATCTCATCTAATTTAGTAATCATTTAATAATCAATCAAGTGAGATATATTTTATTTATTTGTATATTTATTATTAAAAGCAATATTATTAGGACATAATGGGTTATCACTGATTGATGTCCCAATAACTGTAGTGTTTTATTAAATGTTGGCCCTCGGTGTACTTTGACTGAAGACCTTCAAAGTTCAAACGTGTCAAATTTCAATTTTTCTGGGTCCACCACATGACTCCGCAGTACATGTGAAAGTCATAATTAGTTACCAAAAATCAGAAGGCTTTTCAAGTTCTCAAATATACAACTACAAACAGTCAGTAAGACAATAGACAAATAATTCTGGGTGATAATAGTCTACCTGCATAACAACCACAGGAAAATATTGCGTGTGTGTGTGTGTGTGAGAGAGAGAGAGAGAGAGAGACACCTGATAAGTGGAGAAAATGGTTGGGTGCAAGTCTTTGATATCAAAAGTTGGAATGACAACATTGGTGAGTGTACGACTTAATCGGATATCTCCCAGCTTCTCCCTTACAAGCCCATGAAGATACTTCCCATCATATTTGGGTCCTCTTAATGTTTTTAACGTTTTTCCAATGGATTTAAACAAGCCACTGACATTCAAACCACAAAGATATGGTTACTACTTAATTACATGATCAAGAGCTAAAGAAAATGAATCATTAGCTTAAGATATTCATACCTTTTCTGTGGGAAAATCTTGGGACCGTGCTCTAGGTAAAAAGGTTTGATGTCTTTGGCTGCATAGAGAGGACGGTTGTTTTCATCGGGTGCAGTTAACATGGCTGTCACAAGACCACCGGTGCTTGTTCCGGCAATCACGTCGAAGTAATCTGCAAGTCTTGCCTTCTCCCCATCCAGCTCCTATGTCAAAAAAAATTTCTCCCTATTAAAACACATACTACTGACCGAAAGGAAATCAGTTGTGATTTGTGAACCCATGTGTATAAGTTGTACTATATTTGGTTTGTCATGAGTTAATTGCATATATATACCTATTCTGTTGTGTTATGAGAGCTTCTTTCGTTTCATAGACAAGTCGAGATCGAGCAATTCGTTGATATCGCTCTATAGGCCCAGTGAGATAGATGTGTTTTGAATTTTACTGTAATATCCTCATATTTCTAGAATAAAATCAATTAACCTACTAAAAAAAACCAAAAGGAAATTATATTTTCACCTGGAGTTGAGCCTCGAGGTAGGCAAGAATAGTGGCAGGAATAATCCCCCTGATTCCACCTCCATCTATGCTGAGGATGGTGATTAGGTTTCCATAAGTTGGTGCCTGAATTTGAAGAAGGGAGGATTTTCTTCTCTCCATCTCGAGTTATCAATTACTTGTTGAATCTTGTGAATTGGCTCTAAAAACTTTTATTGGTGAAAAGAAATGTGAATGAAAGATCCAATTACCTATAGAATAGGAAACTGGGAAAGAAAAAATCTACCAAAAATGAGAGTGCACTGTGGAGGGAGTAGTGGACGAGGAAAGCAAGAAGAGAGAGAAAGTTGTAGGGTGCTGATTTAGATGCAGAATGGTCCATTTATAGGCCTCAAACTGAGAGAAACTTTGATGTAATATCTTGTGTTGATCTGCTAGTAAAGTTTGAATTCTGCACAGTTCGTGGAGCGTTGGGTCAGAGACGTCGTTGCGGGGTGGAAACATCCAAATGTGAAATTGGCGTTAAAATGGTCAACACTTCAATCTCTTTATTGGTCTGCATAACTTTCAACGCCAAGTTTAGAAAAAAGCAAGACTTTTCTTGCTTGCACGAAACTTGCTTACAAGTGTTACGACAACGAGTTCATTAGGCCGTCATGACATAGTATCTCTGACAATGTCAATGTCAATGAATCGTAGTATTTCTGTCAATGTGATTGGATCATATTAAAATTGGACTAATTCTTAGTTGGATCAAATTTAAAAGTTTCCATCTAAATCTTTGCATTTAAATCTCCGATGCATTTCATTTTTAAATTCATATCCAAATTCATTAAAATAAAAAAATCTAATTCCGATAACTCAAATAGAATTTTAAAAAATTATATGGAATTATCAGCAACACTGTATTAAACAAATAAATTAATTTCATCACAAAATTATAATATTATTCAGATCAGATAGAGATCAGAGTTAATTATTCAATTATCTATATTCAAAATTTGAATTTAAAAATATAAATAAAATTACAATCCTTCTTTAAAAAAAAAAGAGAGAAGAACAACACCAATGCAACAATTGCTTGTCCTAGTTTAAGCCTGGTATGAGCATGGTGATTTTAGTTGTCTAAGCTTCCTTTCATCTAAGAGCAATTTCGCAAACCTGCAAGAGACAGGAAGAGACTGATTAATAATACATTAGCAAATTTTGAGAACAACTGGGCATCCGATATCATTCCAAAAGTTGTGACTCTATAAAGATAAGTTATAATCTAATGAGGGTCTAGTCACCATTTAAAAAAGTTGATATAAATCTTAAAATGTTAAGATCGATCATTGAAATTTTGTTGGATTAAATCAAAACTTGCGGTGTGAATTCAAAAATTAACCCTTCAATACCATCCATCGTCCACTTTCTCTCCATTTTTTGGCATCCAAACCAAATCGAATGACAAAAAAAATTGATTGGTTGTCTCCAGACCGACCAGTTTCCAAGTTTACCCTCGAAACTGGTTTCTTCAACAACGTCTCTCCAATCTCCACAAGTCTGTTCAAGTTCTCCTCTGTAGCAACATCAACGGAGGAGTCTGTACCAATTAAGGAGTCCTCCTGGCATTACATTCAATAGATCATCAGTGTCATATAAAAACTGAAAGCGCACTTAGTTCCAATATAGGTGGAATCAAAATTCTCCTATTACACTTTCACTCAATGGTAAATCACACATTATGCTTAAGATAAAAAAACCCTGATATTAGCTTATTTATTAAAAAAATAGTTGGCAAGGGAAATATGATATTGGCTTACTTGAATTCGAAGGTAGTTTTCTTCGGAATGAAGAGCTCGAAAAACCACAGAAATATGGAAATCAACCATATCAGCACTTGCTTGAGTGAAAACATCCACCAACGGACTGGAGCCGCCGTGAAGTAACCAACTAAAAACACCCCATTTGGCTGCCATTTTCGCACTGTATTTCTGTTCCACCTTTGCAGAGCCAGTGCCTACTAAGATCACTAGAAAGCGTCCATAGTCCATGGGCTTAATCGGGAAGAAATCTGGACTTCCACTAAAGACCTTTTTGGTTATCTGGGATATGACAACTAAAGCCTACAAAACATGGTACCCAAAAAATAAAATCGTATGAAATTGGGGTTAATTCAATGTTCTATATTTCATAGATATATACTTTGGGTGACTATATTATTCAAATCTATCGGGATGTTAGAGGTATATAGTTACCTAGTATCTTAGGTTGTTACTTGTAAGAGTATCTTCTAATAAATTATATTATTTTGTCTCAATCAGTAGCTCTCTTGTAAGTATCCCGTGGAAAGTAATCTTCGGGTATGTCTTGAACAATATTGTCTATCCATGCCTTTTTGTTTTTTCCAAAATATTATTTTCATTCAGTAAAGAAAATATAGAGTGTTTGATTGCAGATTCAAGTGTATATAACAATGAGTGACACATTTAGAAAAGCTTATAATGTATCTACTATATACAAGATCATACCGGATTATTTGCTGCAACATCACCATCAATAAGATTGAATTCCCAACTGTTCCCTTCTTTATCTTGGCCACTAAAATGGTGGGCAGGAAGATAAGTTGGGGCTGCGGACGTACTAATACATATATCAGATAAGAGCAATGCTACATGAACTTAAAAAGTAGATTTAAAAATTATACTTGATAATTTCAATCATTGATTTTATTGTGGGTCCCAACATTTACTGGGACCCATTACCTATTCAATAGTTGAGATTATTATCAAGTCTAATTTTTAAGTGTAATTTTTAAGTTCATCTAGCATTACTTATCAGATAATCGAGCATCCAATAAGGGGGATTCTTCCACCTGCATCAACATAAAAATATAAGGATATATGATAAGCATAGAGAGAGAGAGAGAGAGAGAGAGAGAGAGAGACCTCATAAGTGGAGAAAATAATTGGCTTGCAAATTCTTGACATCGAAAGTTGGATGACAACATTGGTTAAAGTTTGATGTAATCGACAGTCTCCTAGTTCTCCCTTACAACTTTGTGAAGATACTTGCCATCGTACTTGGGTCCAGCTAATAAATTCAACGTGTTTCTAAGTGATGTAAACATGCCCCTGCCACATTGCAACAATATGTATTCATGATTAGATAGATACAAATAAAAGCAAGATCGATCACAGGCAAAATACCAACTAATTAATTCCAAGTTTTCATGGAACAAAAACAATGCGTTTTTTAAAAACTGGAAGCAAGAAAAACATTTCCTGCTTACCTTTTCTGTGGGAAAATCTTAGGGCTATGTTCAAGATAAAAAGGCTTAATGTCTTTGGCGGCAAATAAAGGACGATTGTTTTCATTTGGAGCTGTTAACATGGCATCCTTATCATCCAAGTCCTGATCACGTCAAAATTGCAATATTTAGAGTTAGATAATCTTTCCACACTACATTTTTTTGATATTTATGGGGAAACTCCATGGAGCTGCAAAACTTTAAGGTGCATTGAGATTTCAAAACTCGATTCATAATTAAAGTACTCCACACACACACACACACACACGACTTTCATAAATCATGAATGCAGAGCTCTCTCTCTCTCTCTCTCTCACACACACACACACACACAATTATATCAGCAAAAAATAAGACTAACCTGAAGTTGGGACTCAAGGTAAGCAAGGACAGTGCCAGGAATGATGCCTCTTATACCGCCTCCATCAATGCTGCGAATGGTGATTAGCTTTCCATAAGTTGGGGCCTGGATTTGAAGTTGAGATGAGACCTTCTTCATTTTGAAACTAAAGGTAATGTATTGTTTTTTGTCTACAAGTTCAGAGAGCTCAAGCTTTCGTTGTTGGTTTTCCAACAAAGTTAATCTATTTATAGCCCTCAATAAGCATGCAAGAAAATTCCTTGCAATCTCTTTGATTGGCTATATGGTGAGTATGGATAAATGTTGAAAACCTGCAGATATATTAAGCATAATCTAAGCTGCCGTGGGCATCCTTCATTCCAAGCATCACCTTAGATTTTTTTTTGATATTTTTCTTTATCACAATAAGAAGATAGCAAGTCCCCCCCCCCCCCCCCCCCCCCCTCCCCCTCCTCTTCCTATTTTACTAAAACCTTTGGCTGAAAAGTGGTATAGCCCGCCAACCCCAAAAAAATATTTTATAGATATCAATATAAGGTAGAATCATTTTGTTATTTATTCCGCGGGATTTTTGGTGAGAGAAAATGCTCGAATTGGCCAATAAAGAAGAATATCGAATTGGATGGTTGAACAACGAACAATCATTCTTGTCTTCCCCTTCTTCCTTAGGCAATTACAAATCTTCTTATCGAAACTATTTATCTTTTATCGCCGAATCTCTTGCTACCGAACAAGGTATAGCTACGATCAAAGTGAAACGGCGATAAGAGATCAAGTTGGAATTTTTTTTTTCAGGTTTGGTATACATGTACTTCTTCCCGTTTAATGAATTACTTACCTGGAAAAAATTAAAAAACTTACCTGGACTCAATGTATTTTGCATGTAAGAATTTGTAAGCGACGTGCAGATCTGATCAACTTGATAACATCGATAAGCTCAATTAATTAGTACAATACATGCGATTTAAACGTTTTTTTTTTTTAAGTTTATATTCTTAATTATAGAGAACAACAAGATGATAGGACTAAGGATGATATCAGATAAGTGAAAGAAACAAATTTGTAAGTAAAAATGAATGAAATCTAATTAAAATTTTAAATTTGTTTTATACACGTGTCGAATCTAAGCATTGTGTTACTCAACTTAAGTTCGCTCGGCGCAACTCAAATAATTTAATTTTTTACTCAAATTTATTTCCAATTTGCTCAATTGATATACAATATGTATACTTTTTGACTCATTCTCTTCTCTAATAATAGGTAAATGTCACTAATTACACTAGTAATTTCTTTCTTGAAACCACACATTGAATATAGGGACTTGTGTGTTCCTTAAAACGACTCCACTTTTATAAAAACAAGTTGAAAAAGTTCCATAACTGTTCCCATGGTTCTTAACTACATCAAATAAGCTCGTTTCAAATGCACCTAAACTTTTGCCAAATCAAGCTTCCAGTTACCATGATAATGTCGCTTTATCATTTGCTTCTCGTTGTTAATGATTGGGTGGCTTTAGGAAACTGGCTTTAATTAAGAGCAATGCTATTAGACCTAACCTAATTTATTGACCTAATTCACTGTGAACTTTGGATTGATTTTGAGACCCATCAAACATTAGAATTTGGTGTTGATCTAATAGTTGTGCAGTCAGCAAATTAGATCAAATTTTTAGGTTCAAATAGTATTACTCTTAATTAATGACCTAAGATTCAAAGGAGCACAATTCAACGTTTAGATTCTATAGGTTGGAATTGGCTATTTTAAAGTTCAATAATAAGGCGGTAGTCATTAAGTTAATCACTAATCTCTAAATTACATAATAATTAGTGTAAGATTATTATGTTTATGTTTGATATTTGACAGCTGATACGGATTTTTCATATTTATTCAACATAAATCATAGAGACAAGACAATAGGGTATGAATTGTTTGAAGTTGAATCAAATTTAAGAATGCGAAATTTAATTCATCAAGACTACACAATGAGAATTATGCACTCAAATTCAATTGCATTGCTTTCACGAGCTCTAAGGCTACGTTTAATGCACGAACGGTGAGTTTGTATACTAAAAGTAAAATTCTCATCTTATAGTTCGGATCCCAAACTTTATAACTAGCTTTCGGGCTAATAAACCGTAAAAAATGACTAATTTCTCATTCTCCTTTGTAAAAAACATCATCTCAACAAGTTCAATTTATGACTAATTGGACAGTACTAAAAAATAGAGAATGATTTTTTGGGCCCGGTATCAAATAATTTTTTAATGGAAAAATAAGATTTATTAAAAAATTTCTTTTTCGTCTTAGTGGGAAAAAATAAAGCTTGCAAAATATCCTTAATATTTTAGAAAATTAAAAGCACCTGTTGCAATTGGAATTTTGTGGAGGAGTGAAAAGACGACCTTTTTTCCTTTTATTTTATTTTGGATTGGATGCTAACTATAAATGAAGTGTACTTATTGTATATGAATCTTCTTCAATTAATATTAATTATCTTATTTACCTAAAAAAAAAAAAATTTAAATGGACATAAATAAAATAAAAGAGAATTACACTCAGACCTTTTAAAGTTTATCACTTAATCACTCAGACCCCTTATATTACATACAGACCTTCTAAAGTTTGTACACACATAACACTTAGATTCTTGCTATCAATGTCCGTTAGTACATCAGTTAATAAATTACACTCATACGTCTTGAAGTTTATAGGTGTGTAATACTTAAACTTTTAAAGTTTAAAATGTTATATTTAGATAAAAAATATTTCATATATTCATATTCTAAATATATCAAATATTTTAAATTTTACAATCAAAATTCATATTCTATTATAACATTTATTAAAATAAAATAAAAAATAAAAATCTAATTTTTAAACTAATTACGATTTTTAAGAAAAAATTAGATTTTTATTTTTGATTTTATTTCAATAAATAATACAATAGAACATAAATTTTAGTTGTAAAATTTAAAATATTTAATATTCTATCTTTGATTGAAGAATTTTTTATCTAAATATAATATTTTAAATTTAAGGGGTATAATATTATATGCCTATAAATTTCAAAGGGTTTAGGTGTAAATTACTAACAGCTATACTAACGGTGTAAGTACTACGCGCGTACAAATTTTAAGAGATTTGTGTATAATATTTTAAATATTATGGAGTCTGAGTAATTAAGTAACAAACTTAAGAAAAATTAGAAGTAATTCTCCCATAAAATAATTAAGAAATAAGAAAAGAAAACAACGGACGAAGAGTTGGTCTGAGAAAGTTGAAGAGGAGACGATGACAACTCTTACGAGCAAAAGCTCAAAGAGAGAGAGAGAGAACAGCCAATGTCAATGCCAATGCCCTCTTCACTATTTTCTTTCCTGAAACATGGCTGAGAAATATGTTCCTTAAAAAAAGTGTGCTTTTCATAACTTATGGTCTCTCTCACTTTCCCATTTTCGGTTACGTTCTTTACCTTTACCATTCAATTTCAGTTCTGTACTTATGTGTTCCTTTTCTTTCTTTTCCCCTTTCGATAGAATTTGTTTTCTTTGGGAAGTACGAACCATTAATGGGTAGCTACATATAAAAGTTACGTCTTGTTTTCCTCTCAATTATGTGCATGCACTGATTTGATTTTTTCAATGAAAGAAGCTCACTCTGACCATTTCTTTTGTCTTATTTTTCTCTGCATATTTAAACTGAACCACACCCAAAATCTCATTTTTCCTTTTCTTTTTCACCATTGATTTTCTTCCTTTTTTTCCCCTTTTTGATGGAGGTTTTAAGATGGACTCCACAGGTTAGCTCCTCTCTGTAGCACTTACTGTTTTCTGCAAGATTTTTTTGGTCCAATTTCTTTGTCATTTTCTTATCACAGACCCATAATTTTGTTTTTTTGATATTTTTTACTAGAAAATAACATCTGGGTAACATTCACTACATACAAGACACATTGGTCATAAAGGCGCCTAAGAAATCTCCATTGATATTGAGAATGGTGGTCTTACTTTTTGATGTGGTCTGTGGAGTGTATATTTTCTCTATTTGTTTAAAGCAAACAACTAATTCCACAAAAAATACTAAGTTTCTAGAGATTCAAGTGATTGACCAGCCTTGTCACGCTTCTGAGATAGAACAATGGGAAATTCCTTGTGTGCATTTCCCAAAACCCAAAACCTTTAGCAGGTAACTGAAAAAATTAAAAAAAAAAAAAAAAATTATTGGGTTTGGTTCAATTTGGAGCAATTAAAATAGATGTGAGTGATGGATTTGCAGGGAGGAATGCGTCTGCAATCCGGTTCGGAATTTCACCATCTTGTCGATGCAGAGATCTGGGAGTGGATGGTTTGAGACTTCGTTAAATAGTCATATAAACATTAGCTCGAATGGTGAAATATTTCTGTCAAAGAAAGGGGAAGCAATGTTTCTGTGATGCAAAGCACAGTGGATAAAGTTTACAACCTCGATTGGTCCACTAGTGCTTCCAAGAACGAGTGCTCAGGGGCAGTTGGGCTGAAATGGATGCTCAATCAGGTGAGTAGAGTAGCATGGTAGAATCTAGTTTATCTAGTGGATGCTGTATACATAAATCTGATACCTGAGAGACCTACAGTACAAAAAATGAGGTAATGAAAACAATCAACAACTTGCACCTTGTTGGTGACGATAGAAGATGGTGGTGGCGCAACAGCAACAGACCATTCAAGTTTTAAAACATCGAATACCAAAGTCTTTGCATATCCTGAAGAGGAAATATATATAAAAAAGGTTAAGAAGATGGAGTCGGTCTGTAAGAGCAAAGAAAAATGAGCACCAAAGATTCCAGTGATAAGCTTAGGCACGATTAGAAAACCTATAAACATTTGTCCTCACTTAGCCAACTAATCAAAACATAATTTTGAATATTTGAACAACCATTCATTACCAAAATTTTACTTAGACCGTTTCTCAGCCCGGAGGTCAACCAAGCAACCACAGGCATGAGTAGATGTAGTTCAGCATTCAATTGGATCCAAAAGAACAATTACAATATAGAATGATTGGTGAGACACCAGTGATGAGTTACTGCAGAGGAACAACTTGAAAGATTTTGGACACGTCACAGGTAGAAAACTATCATTGTTCAACCACTCCATTTA